TCTGACGGTCGGCCCGCTAGGTGGGCCCTGTTTATCGTACGGTCGGCCGTAAGGGTGGCGGCCGCTTTTATGTACGTCGCCCGTATGGTGGCGCCCTGGTGTTACTCGGTACGGTCGGCCCGGAGTGTGGGTGGCCCGCTGTTATCTACCGGGTCGGTGCCCGGAGTGGCGCCCTGTATCGTAGGTCGGCCCGGTATGTGGGGCGCCCTGTTATCGTACGGGTCGGCCCGGTAGGCGGCTATCCGCTCTTATCTACTGCGCCCGTATCGCTTTTATCTAGCGTCGCGCCCGTAATTGCGCCCTGTTATCGTACCGGTCCCTATGCGCCCTTTATCGTGTACGGTCGGCCCGTAGTGCGCCCTGTTATCGGTACGTCGCCGTATGCTCTTTACGAGTCGGCCCGTAGTGGAAGCCGTGTTAGTCGTACGGTCGGGCCCGGGTAGGGTGGCGGCTTGCTGTGGTGACCTTGCGCCGGTTGGTGTGTTTCGAGGGTTCCCCAGTGGAACCAGGAACTATCGGCTCTGACCTCGTTTGGTATGGAACAGCACCGATTTGTTAACTGTGGGAAGGACTTTCCTGTTTTTACTCGCTGCAATAAAAGCTGAATGTGTTGTCTTCAAGTAAAAGGATTGTTTTGCTGCTTCAACGGTCTGGAATCACTTATTTATTTACGAGTATTAATATTATATTACAACATTGATATTTATTTTACAGTAATATTTATTTAACAGCACTGAAGTATTTATTTACAGTACAAACTGAATTTTAAAGCTTCTAAACATCAGTTATGTTATTGTACATTCAAGTATTTGTAATCACTCATGGTATTTATTAAAAAATTATTTTCGTAATAAGTTATTTTTAGTTTATTTATACATCCACTTTTTAAAATGATTAACTGATTAAAGTAATCAGGATTTTCAGTAGGTTTATATTTTGTGTTGTTTTGCTGGATGCGACTGGGTTGCCGGGTGGAAACTGTTGTCAGTGGTTTTGACAGCAGATAAATTTCAAAATAAACAACATTAATTCACAAACAAAACATTTTTATCAGGGTAAACACACACACCTGGTGGTGACATCACTGAGGGGACAGGAAAGGGAGGGTCTGATGAAGCAGCGGAGGGGTCTGGGATGGACAGAGGAAGGAGGGAGGGTCTTTGAGAAGGAGGAAGAGAGGAGGGTCTTGATTGAAGGGAGGAGGTCTGGATGAAGGAGAAGACGGAGGTCTGGAGGAAGAGAGGTCTGATGAAGAAGGCTCCAGAGGAAGGAGGAGGGGTTTATGGAAGAGGAGGGCTCAGGAGGAAGGAGTCAAACCACTCGCCAGAGCTGGAGCACAGGATCCTGGGTGTCCTTGGGACGAGAATTCGGCTCTCCGCTGGCGTCTTTCAGGGCCACGCGACGAAGGATCGTGCAGGGAGTCTTTCTTAGTCATAGCAAAACTGGACCGGAGGAACGACGGAAGGCCGTGGACACACACCACACAGTTACCAACACATTGTATACTTACACACACGACACACAGTACACACATTATACTACACACACACACACACTGACAGTCCTGATTACTAGAACACACACACACAGCAACATTATGACTACACACAACACACACACAACACACATTATTTACTACACGACAGCCACAACACACAGCACACACACAACACACATTTACTACACAGCACACAACACACATTGTATACTACACACACACACACACAACACCACTTATACTACACACACACGACACACAAACAACACACATTATAACTAAACAGACACACACACATTGATACTACACACACACCACACACAACACAGCATTTTATAACTACAGCACACAACACACATTATACTACCACACCACAAACACACATTATACTACACAACACAAACGCAGCACATTGTATACTACACACAACAACACACATGTGATACTACACAGCAACCAAACTGACACATTATACCACACACACACGAGGTACACACATTCCTTAATACCACCACACAACACACAGTTCGTATACCACACAGCAGACACAGTACCACACATTATACTTACACACACACAACACACACACACACACGTACACACATGTATACTACATCACACACAACACAGATGTATACTTACACACACACAACACACATGTATTACTACACCACACACAAGCACACATTATCACTACACCACACACACTATACTACACACACACAACAACATTAACTACACACACACAACACCATTCATACTACACACACACACACACACATGTATGTACTGTGACACACACATTATACCACACACACATAAACTGAAATAAAGAAACTCAAAAAATGTAAAACAGGTTCTGTCAATATCACTGAATGTAGGAAATGTATTGATCCATGTATTGATGTATCGAAGGTGTATTGATGGATGTATTGATGATGTATTGATCCATGTATTGATGTATTGATGGGTGTATTGATGTATTGATGGATGTATTGATGATGTATTGATGATGTATTGATCGGCTGTGTCTCCACCTTGTCGAATCCTTGCTGCTCCAGTTTCTTCCCCAGAATATCTCCGATCCCCGACAGAGCCGTCACCGGTTTGTCTCCCATCGGCTCGCCAACAAAGTCCCGATGCTTCTGAGACGTAGTCGACATCCTGCTGAACCCCGGAGACCATGATGGTTATATTTTCATTTTGAGTACAAATATAAACTGTGTGATTTTGATTGTTGATCTGAAGCAAACAAACCTGTTTTATAATAATTAATCTAGTAATTATCTTTAATATTTATTATCTTTAATATTTATTGTCTTTATGAATTATTGAGGTTTATTTATATGTTACAAACAGTCCGCCAGCAGGTGGCGCTACAGACAGAAATACTGCAGCTGTTAAAGAACTTTATGTACATTTGCCTTTTATTAACTACTTTGATTCCACCGCTGCTCAGATGGGAATCAATAACTGATTATTGATAAATCAATAACTGATTATTGATAAATCAATAACTGATTATTGATTCCTGAGCAGTTTAACACTGAATGGGGCTTTTATTTTGTAGTAAAATGATCCTTCCTGTTTGTTTGTTTGTTTGGTTTGACAAAATAAATCACAAACAAACAAACAAACAAACTAAAGCTCTGAGCTGCTGCTGGAGTCTCCCAGTGGAACCAGTAGAACCAGTGGAACCAGTGGAACCACAGTAAACCTGCAGGCTCGTGCTGGACTCCAGAACCAACCCGGGTCAGAAGGGGGTCTTTACCTGCTGGTCTGGACTTGCTCGGCGGACGGTCCGGGTTCTGGTTCTGGTTCTGGTTCTGGAGGATCCGGATCAGAAGCTGCAGACACAGATTGAACTTCAACACGAGACAAACGGAAGTGAACCGGCAGTTTTTACCGCGCAAACAGCTCGTGAGACGCCAGGTGTGGGTCACGCGCGGCGGCAGGAACCGGATCCGGACTCACCTGAGCTCAGAAAACACACCGAACCGCACGAGGAGCCCGCGGGAAAAGTTTTCTCTGACTGGAGGCGTTTTATTCTGAAACCCGGAAACAGCAGCTGACGCTCTCAGCCTGACGTCAGGACGCACAAAGTCAAAGATCGTTTGTGTTGAAGATGAATCACTCGGTGGCAAAAATGATGTTTGTAACGAAAAGTACAAAAACATTTTATCAACAGTTTAAATATCGGAGATAAATATAAACAAAACATTTATTTATTACTTGTTACTCTCTTAAAAAGTAATATTATTACTTTACGTATTACTGCCAACAGTAATACATTACACTACTAGTTACTGTAGAAAGTAATCTAATTACTGTCATATAATCACTGTACAGCACTGACACTAATATCACCGATAATCAATAATCTTCTTTTAGTGATAGTAAACAGCTTTGAACCTGGAGTCAGAGTGAGGATGGAGGAAATATACCGAACTCCGCTCAAATAACGCGTCAGTTTCTAGTTTCTCTGATTGTCTGCGAACATAAAGACGATGAGAAACATGAAGCATTTAGTTTTTCTAAGTTTGGGAACCAGACTTAAATTCGGCGCCTTTTTAACCTCCAGCCGTTCCTGAATTTAATAAGAATTTATGTTTTAAAACTTTGTTTGTAGCAGCTGAAAGCCCTTCCAGTGGTCCGCAAACAGCCGTGCAAAGCAGTTATTAAACTCGTGATTTTATCAAAATATATTCATGTTCGGTGTATTAATCATATGCCGATATTAACCGAGGATCATATTCATCTACACAATATCTAAAGTGTTGTTTTATAAGTTTAATACAGTCAGTGATCGTTAAGGCAACAATAAATCGTAAATATTTAACTGGAGTTTGGTTTTGCACAGTTCTCTTATTAGGAGGTGTATTCAGTCACCTGACGGTTTAATGTTAAAGCGGAGTTCAGTCTGGCTGTTGGGAGAAAGTGAACCAAACTCCATTCAAATATCTGATAGTTTTACTATCTTTGATTATCAGTTGTAAAGGACAAAGCAGATATATTTAAAACTAAATTTTTTTAAACTAAAGTCACAGAATTATAATCACAGAACTTTTCTCAGCAAATATAATAACACATTAAAACAACTCATGAAAATAGTCATTTTCTATAATTAAAGGATATACAGTTTCAGCTTTTAATGTTATATAAAAATCTAAATTTAACAGACTTACAGGGTGAAAACATGATGAGTCTATAAATACAGATGCAACTGTGTGAACCAATAATCAGGCGTTTAGCATTTGACAGCAGAGGTGCGTGTTATTATCTGGATTGTATTGGATGTTTATGGGTGAAGTTAAAAGTTATAAGGAACTGGTAATAAAAGTCATTATGTGTGAAATTACAGCTTAATCTATTGCTGTTTAACTGATAAACAACATTTATTCAACGTTTATGTTCTTTAAATAATCTTAGAACTGTATCAACAGTATTAGAGTACATTTAACAGTTTAATTTATTAAATAAACAATAAATATCTCTGAACCTGATGAAGGTTTGTATGACCTGCGACCGTCAGACAGCGTACTCATCCTCAGCCTTCATCCCTCCCTCCTCCCCTCAGTTAAACTGTCTCTCTGTCCGTCCTCTGTGTGTCTGCAGGCGGGCAGGAGGAGTACGTTCTGTCCTATGAACCCGTCGTTCAGCAGGAAGGTGAGTTCATTGATCTCCATCCAGCATTAACCTGCAGCGGAGGAAGTGCAGATATTTAAAGTCTCCTTCCTCTCTGACAGTAAACTACACCCGTCCCGTCATCATCCTCGGCCCCATGAAGGATCGAATCAACGACGACCTGATCTCCGAGTTCCCCGACAAGTTTGGATCCTGCGTCCCCCGTAAGTCCTCCTGCAGCGGGTCCGGTTGGGTCTCATTCTCCGTCAGATCAGATTTTAACTTCTTTTTGTTTCCCTTTATCAGGTGCAGTCATATACATTCACACTTTCAAGGATACAACACAGGTGTAAATGGGGTAGAGGTAGTCCATGGATTTTGACATCTTAAGTGTCCAGATAGAGTCCATATTTAAAGTGAGCAGTGATGAACATTCACTGAGTGAGAGGATGAACATACAGTATACAAACATTCATTATTCATAATTTAATGGCAGGGGGAAGAAACCCACATCAGTCACATCAAAAATCATATCAATCAATAAAATATGAGTTAATTGGGGACCATTTATTCAGGA